GCTGCGTTGGTTGGGACATGTGTTACGTATGCCGAACCATCGTTTGCGGAAGAGAGTACTGTTTTCCATGCCCAATTCGGAGTGGCGTAAACAGTGTGGTGGCCAACCTTTGCTCTGGCAGAGAGGTATTGAAGGAATCACGAAACTTCTGGGTGCTGTTGGTGCTACTCGCCTTCCAGGATGGGGACCTCGTGATCCACACGGTGTCTGGTTGGAGACACTATAAGATATGGCTGCCAACCGATGTCAGTGGCGTTCTTGTTGTCAATTTCTGTCCAGATTGCCTGAATGAATGCCTGGGGGTGTGGGCACCTCGGAATGCTTGTAGTAAGCTAGCACTAATTCCCCCATCCGCATTTATTTTTTTCTTTACAATAAGGCTTTCAAATAAATCATGCTTGTACGGCAGCGAAGCATCAGTGTGGAACGCTGACATCATGCTGTCGGCGGTGATGAGAGCCAAGTAATCCATTATCATCTATGTCCGGACAACAGTGTCCTACAAAAAACGCGACAAATCGGAGTCTGACCCTTGCTGACATACTGATGCACAATGGCGGTAAATTCTGTTGATAGATATTAGCCAAGGATGACCAAACGTTCCGCGTTCTGTGCCGAATATGCGAGCGACCTGTCTTTAAAAACGTTTAGATGAAACAGTTCGCAATCGAGGTTTCACTCTGTATATATAATGCTGAAAAGTGGTGAAACCCGATGCGGTTGTTTCATTCTTATTGTGAATCATCAACGTTCATGAATCCCCGGGTGGGTTCGAACCTTGACCGAGTAGCCGTCGGGGACTCGACCGTGCGGCCACGAGCAACTGATGGGTGAATAGCGGAAATCGAACAACAGTAGACAAAAAATAGCAGGTTGGATAATTGGAATCTGTATTTCGCTTAAAAAAAGGACTCCCTGACACGGATACTCCTACTGGTCCTTTGTACCAATTCAGGCGGTGATAAAGTATTCGGATAATGCTGAGTATCGATCTGCGTCAATGTGCAGTACATTAAATAGCGTGTGATACTCGGATAGCTTGTCAATAGGATTCGGTTCGCCACAAGTTCTCACAAGTGGTTTTATTGAACGCAACAGACAGTGGCGCATCCAATAGGAATCAGAAGCATGAGTGATTGAACGATCAGAGGCGAATTCTCGAGCTGGACACTGGTCACGCCAAGTGCTCAAAGCGCATTACACGCAGCAGTTGTACGCGTGTGCTGTCAACTTAAAGAATCACATTGATGTTTTACTGCAGTTACAGACTAGCGCTACGGCGGCATCGACAGTTGAGCACTCGTGCACCTGATCTGCCGTGTGCGTCAGTTTTTCCGCGTGGGTGTGCAGAATCAGTCTGATTTTAACTGGCCGGTACTTCATCCATAGATTACTAAGAATGAACTCTTCGGGCAACGTATGCGTCATGTCATCACCATGTCCGATTGAGGATATAAGCCACCGGAAACGAGTATCGCCTTTTTTATCTGCTTAGGGTTCCTTCCCCTTCAGGCCCGTACTCTATGAGGTCGTCAACAAAAACCGTCCACAAGAATTTCTGTGGCGACAATGTGAGTAGTGAGTTCATGCGCCTTGAAGAGCATTCACCATTGTTTGTCCTTTCTTTGGTTGTTGGTCCTTAGACGCGTGTTCCCATACCAAAATCTTTACATACTTTGGGATTCACCTCATCAGACTGGCACTGTCCTTGGCAGGATTTCGAATGAGACGTTTCTCTCTTCTCCCATATTCTCCTGTTACTCTTTCGCATTCATCGCTTGCACTCACTTTTTATGTTTGTGACCATGCTCTTCAAAAATAAATGATAATAAACGACCGGTCCCGGAGAGAGGCGGTATTGAGCAGGTAGACTATGATAGCCGAGGAACAATCGTGCCTGCAGTTACCGTAGGCACGTTTTGGGGGGAAATACACGCGACAGACTGGTGAGTGTCGCCGGAAAAACAGCCCGATAATACACGGGCAACCGGGAGAAAAAAGCACGCAAGTTGGCTAGTGGGCAGTCCCAGGTTGAACTGCCGGAAAACGGGACTTGATTAAACACAATCTTGTAGACCAAAGTCTCCTCGCGATTAAAATCAATGTCGGCTTCCAGACATGGGTTAATCCACTCCATCCGCACACCTGAAATCTGGTTCCTAGAAAAACAATGCCAGAACGCGTTTCATTCCACACACCAAACCGTACAACTAGCGGGAGAAACTGCACTGAACGGTGTGAAGGTATGAGTAATCATCGAGCTGAGACGGGGCACGCGTGCGTGCGTGCGTGCGGATGTGCAGGAGTGTAAGTGCGCTTCCTATTGAAGAGGATGCTGGTCTTGGGAGATGGTGCTCAGAAGACGCCGTATTGAGTCGGTCCTTTCAGGAGGTCTTCCATTCAAGCAAATTTGGTCCAGTCTTCGAGTTCGTAAAAGTAAAAGAGCCCATCTCTTGGAAAAGACCAATTCCGCGTGGTCTCTGGAGAGATGAGTAGCCACATTTCGGTCAGATTTACCTCAGGAAGGACAATAACATAAATAAATGGTTTCTTGACAAATTATATCACAGTTTGTATATAGTCGGAAGATTCCTCGAGGTAGTTCGTACAACTTGCAACTGCGGAACTGATTTCTGTGTATTCTACAACTGAGGTCAGCATTGTCAAACAGCTTAGAGTTGCTGAACTGAACATTCCGGATTGTCAAACACTGAGTAGGTCTTATAAATTCCCAGCCAACCGGGTGAAATAGCCAGAACTGGGAAACTGAAACCTCATCAGAAGAATCTAAACAGAGAGGTGTCTATCTTTCTTTGAAAACGCTGACTGTCCTGTGGTCAGACAGTGGATAGAAGTTTATTCAAAATCCAAGGGTTCGGGGAACCGAGCTGGATATGATGTCGTGTCGTGCAGATAAAGGCCATGTTGGGAAACGAAGCCGCCGGTGATACAGTTAGTCAGGCACATGAGAATACTTAGTCCACCATTTTCGCCGTAACTCACGGGATGGGTGATGACTCTCCGTTAAATGTAGTCGTAGGTAGGGGGTTGGCCTTGCTTGGGGGGATATAGTGCACTAGGAAGTCCTGAATTATGGGTTTGTAATACCGAAGAGCAGCTTCTTGGACAAAGTCATACACGATGTTGAGTAGAACCGAAAATCAGCTGACCACAAGCTTGACCAGCATCCGACATATTCTAGTGAGATTCCAGGCGTCCAGTGGTTTGACAACAGCTGATCGGCAAATGCTACTTTAAATGCCATCCAGCCGCCAGAGTTCGTCTGGAACATGAACACACTGGGTACTAAAAATTGTTCAGACCTATCTTGCCCCCCACATCATACTACTCGCGACGAGTAGTGACAGTCTGCTTGGACGAGATGATGCCCTGTCGAGCAGCAGCTGCCAACTTTGGTTGGAACCCAACCACTCGGTCCGTTTTGGAACTCCGAAAACGGGCCATCTTCATGAAGCTTTGACTGAGAGGCTAACTAATTCGCCAGTTTTTCCTTTCCTTACTATTAAAACGAGGGAGCGGAATTCCAAGCAAACTAACACATGCCACACGCCATGCAAGAGCTTGGCGTCTGAAATGTTTATTTTTACGCCCAGCACGTCCGCTCAACATGCCCCAATACGCATAAACCACCCCCCCCCCACATCAACCACACTGCGCCTGATTCCCAAGATATCGATCATATCGATCAATTGTCTTCATGCTCCGCAGCGTGCGCACCGCTGAGACAGCGGTTATTGGACTCTCAACTGCGTGTGGTGGTGGTGCATTGTGGCCCGTTGCCCCATCGGTGTCGGGACTGATTGCGCCACTGGTTGAATAAACAGATGCACACGTTCAGGCTCAACTTCCCGCATGCAAAGGTGATGTCGTCTGGCCTGGTCATATCTGTCGCACAACCGGGACCTAATCAGACAGAATGCACAACGTTTTTCCGAAAGAAAAAAGGCCAGAATTGTTGACGCCTTTTTGTCTGCTGTTTGATGCACAGCTATCATGACTTGTGTGTGCACCAGAAGCGGCGTATTTCTGGAACCATTGCTGTTTTGTCCACAAAGGAGAGATGATGATGTTTATTCCAAACCGCCTCTCCGTCCGTGTTTTAATGAGATTCAACCTCATTCTTTGTCACACTCTTACGAAGTACTTAGGACTAGCTAACACAAACGACCGCCAGATATCCAGGTCGTTCGGAAATGATCAGCAGAGCTCACACCTCAAAATGTCCTCAGGCAAATGACATCAATCACTGTTGTTGCTTGTTACGGCACTAGTCTGTATGATGTGCCGACTGCTTTACTCCAGACAGAGTTGACTTTGTTGATATTGTCACCACTAGCTTGCATATAGTAAAAGTTCGTCGCACTTAAATGGTCTCCTATGACCTCACACAAAAATCAGTTCATAGCACTTCTTACTTCAGGACCCGCTCGATCTTCCTTCCGTATGTTTGAATCCAGAGTTTTGAGCACATCACTGAATTTCACATGATACTACTAATCCACGTTTTTGGGTTTATCCAAGTCTAGACAAATCGTTTTGAAGGTAATCGATTATTGGTCAATTGGAGGACGATCGACTGAGCAAATAGGCTTACCCAATCAGTCAATTCACTCTGCGTCAAGCGGTTGCAAACCTACCTGCACTCCTCATCAGCTGAGTGCAAACCATTCGCAGTGTTAATTTCCTTCCCTCGGCGTTGTGAGTTCGAACCCCGGTCAGGATTTTGAAGACAGTTAAGACTCATCATCGAATGACGACCCAGTAACTGTCCTAGTTTTGACGATCGATTGACCATCCGCTTGTCAAGACTTCCCGGTCGGGTAGGGCCACAGACGTTTGAAACCCGCTGGACAACTTTTTGATATCTGTTTTGGGGTTTGCGGGAAATGTACTGTTCACATTCACATCACTCTTGTTTAAAAAGTCGTCCTCGTGTCCTAGCGCAATTATTCTGGTGAATCCACACCAAAGGGGGGAAGCACTGAACTCGAGCTCATCAGCAGTGCATATCCGAGCATGAACTCGATATTTATTAGTCTTCCGATAATATTCATCGATTTTTGGTACCGTTAGTGGCACAGCAACTACTGGCTTGTACAGAGGGGGATCACCATTTTGGGCTAATGTGGCGAAGTCCACAACAATCAGGAAAAGCTCATATAAATCCAGAAAATTCTGCGACACAAGAACAAACGCTGCATTGCCTCGTTTTTGACTTCCAACATCATTCAAAACCGGTACACCAATGTTTCATCCGGGGGCATGTACCACATTTTTTGAAACTTGAAAACTACCGACACAAATCGTGTTTCTATTGCAGTGTTTCGACGGCTATCGTACCCATGACACAGTTTGATCTCATCGGCGGTTCGATCAACTAGACAGTCGTAGTTTCTCAAGTTTGCAAATGGCTGCAAAACTTTTTTCTAAAGGTTGCGATACTACGGGAGCATAGTAACTAGCTCACCAACTTAGTTACAGGCTTTGCTGACTGCAGAATTTGGAGGGCTTAAACGTTTCGGACATACCAAACGTGATCGCCGTGATGTGCTTTAGTAACCAAGTCCAGCTAGGACGGCTGAGTCACCACAATGTACTCCTTTTTTTGCGTTTTTTTTTGTTGTCTAGGCCCTCAGACTGCTGCCAGCTCTGCTTACGGTGAGATGCGCGTCACTCGGTAGCGCGCAGCCTAATACGCGATTAGCCGAGGAAAGCACCCAGCCAGCCCTATTGGCGCAAACCCGGTTGTTTACCACTCGAAAATGAGAACTACACCACGACTGGGTGAGAAGAAAAACGCTGATGTGAGGATGAAAGTTTTATCAGGATAGTGGAGAGGGGAGAATCACTTCGATTACCACGCGAAGACGATTTGGTCAATTAAAGCGCCTGTACCCAAGCATCCGGGGCTGCTTCTTAGCCAGCAGGGTTAAAACTGGTCAAAATATATGTTTATGAAACGGAGAGTTCCCTAAAGTGATGGCTGAACTGACCGACTAAAAAGGTTATCCGGTTAATCTCTAGTGGCATGGTCAGAGGGCTAAGTGTACTGTGGTCAGTACTGTGCAAAGGAGAATATCTACTGAACTTATTGGATCTTTTCCAGACAAGCCCCGCCAAAAAATTAACCCCCAGCATCCAAAAAAGGTTAGATAAAAGAGGATATGAAATTTGCACTTTTAGTTTTTATTGAAAAGGGTGGAATTGGGACATGCTATTGGTAATTTGCATGTAGAGGTCCGTTTTTCGGTACCTTTGCCTTCAAACGAACTCACACAAGTAGCTTCCCACTAAAGATCGATGTGTGCCGCATTGGCATTTAGTCCGTATCTTGTGGACGTGCCGTGCGTGGTTTTTACGGCGAGATATTAGCGTTTCATCGATCTCGACGTGTAGACCTGGACCACCGATAACGGTTGGAGTCTGCAAAAGTTGCCAGGCGCAAACTTCGCGAAGAAAATTCTTTCAATCAACAGCGGTCGTATGGATAATGGATAATTCCTCTGAGCAGAATTTGATTTTTGCCAAATTTTTGGACCAGCAATAAATTAATAGAATTACTGTCCTAAACTCCATCCTGGACCGCTCCAACCAAGTTCCCTTCCGAAGGCCGATTTCTTGCCGATACTGTCGGGCATTACAGAAACAGTTGAAAGTGTCATTTGGTGGCCATTGTTGCATAAACGTTGTTGATGCATCACTCCGTGGCTTTGCGAAAAACGTATTGCCGTCTCCTTGTCGTGAACGGGAGTAGAAAGCGTCAGAAAGTTCATTTACGTCCGAACGGAGAAAATTTTTGCACAAAATGAGCCTAGACGCGGATAAGGAATTGTTTACATCAAAGATAGGTCAAGGTTGTGCGCGTACATTAAATTGGAGCTGGCAAAAGTGGGGTGGGGCTTAGCTTTTCGCACATGCACTTTTTGCATAGTGGCGGGGCTTATCCGGAAAAGATCCAGAACCAAATAAATCGCAGGATGAAAAAACTGATCGCATAGGAATAGAGGTCTTGGTTGTTGGTGATGAAACGTTTGCAATCCAACTACTAAGCTCGGCGAACAGATCAACAGCTAGGCAGCACATCTGAGCCAATTAACGCTCACAACTTCATCTGTGGATGTCCTCTTTGGTCCCCTGCTGCTGATATTGATGATCCGAGGAGCTTTGTTCTTAGACGGAACGGCCTCGTGTTATCCACGCTTCGATATCAAGGACGTATTCCTCTATCCATCGGAAGTCAATTTACTCGTCATGCTGACGTGAGGAAGCATCCAGACACGAAGAGTACACGTGCAGAGGACTGCGTATCCCAAGGTCACCAACGCTACCACACGGTCCGGATAGCAGGGGCACACCAAACACGGCTTAGCAGCACGCGACCGGTGGAGTGGGTGTGAAGTTGTTCACGTCTTGAACGTCGCCACTGGGCGAACAGGACGACTGTGATTGGGCATTTAGTCATCCTATACATGTGTGCGGAAGCTCCGTATATTTGTCCAGGCAATACAGTCTTGTCCCGGGTTCCCTGTTTTCCCCTTATCGCGCACTCCGGCTGGCCCAGTTCCGGCGTGACCAATGGACGGCCAGCCAACAGCTGAAAACGATTCAGTAGCCGAGTTCGTTTGTGAAGCATTGAAAGACCGATTATCCGTGTCCATTTAGCGTTTCATTTCAAAAATTCGGAACATGTGACGGACGGTATAACTACTTGAGATAGAGCCCGTTGCATCCACGTGCTCAATGGAGATTCACCTTCGCTTCATTTGGACAGATTTAGACGAGAAATAAACTGGCATAAAATTTAACCAGTTTGAAATGAATGCCAATAGTAACCTGTGCTTGTTTTGCATTCACTTACTGGAGGAAGTTAAACTTGAGGCATATCAGCTAGCATGGTTAAAAACCGTAAGTATATTACGTTGGAAGGCAAGAAAACTAATACTGTTTCATCCTCCCTCCGAACAAGGTGGGACTCCGCTTGTTGGGAGGGCTTGACCAGTGGACAGGTAAACTCTTGAATTTGACTAGGTCATCGATCGCCATCCAAAGACAATGTCTCATGCTACCATGTCTCTTGTTTAGAGCCATCAGTCAACAATCTGGATGATGTTTGGTTCAGACATCCTCGCGAAGACCAGTGAGGACCGTTGCTCCCGTCATAATGTGACCTTGGTCAGCTGGTTCTCTATGCGTTACCATAAAAGTGCACCACACAATGAGTCATTGCAGTAACGTGTATGTCATTTCCTTCTACAAAGCTAAGTTCGTAGCCTTGACGTGCACGTCCGTGTATTATCTGGAGAAGAGCGATACAGCTTCGCGCCAGACGGTTACGTCTAATTACTCTTGATTCCTTCCACATCCGACAAAGAAACAATTCTACAGCCGCACAACCCTACTCCATACACCCAGGGACGATGATCACATTACGCTTGTTCACCAGTAACTGCCGCGAATCCCAGTCACGGCAAATATCCAGCAGATACAGGGATTCAAATGACGACTCATTGTTGAGTCAATCGATCCGGAGTAACATTAAGCAAGCGGTCTACTTGTTTTTGTGTGTCTGTGACAATTCCAGGTGATAGGATGCCACCGGTGGGTAGCCATCGTTAGTTTAGGCGTACGTGATCACTCCTTCCAGTCCGGTACGCTTTACCTGCATTTGACGTGCCTTGGTTCACGTGGCCCGACGAGAAAAAAGTCCGGTCGATCCTGCTACCTCGGGCTGACGGGTTTCGACCATGTCGGTCACATCGCTTCTCACGTTTTCGAAAAAAATACACCCTCGTTGATCGCACCGTACCTGCTTTGGTTTTGACCGATTGGGAGAATCTCGATAGGTTTGACGCAACTTAGCAACTGCGAACATGACTGTGAGAGCCGCGATGCAGGGACGCTCAACCATGCAAGACAATGGCCGGAGGTGACTCATGCATTGTGAAGCTAAGTCTGACATCGATCGACTGTTCCGCTGTTGCTATCGTGGTTCGTGGGCTTGAGTCACCACGTCGCGTACACTACTTGGATTGCATACTTTACCAAAGTGGCCGGACTTGTGTTCGAAAAGGATGAGGTTTCCAGCCAGAAAAGCCCAAGTGCTGGGTCGACTGAAAAAGGAAGAACATATAATCGATGATACTGATGTAACGGTGATACTACTGATGGGGAGGCATGCGAGTAGTCTAGTTCCTTGTGAATTTGCTTTGCGCCTCTTGAAAAGTAAGATCTATTACAGAATCTGTGGAGTCGCTTTGTAGCATTTGCTTGCATTTGAGTAACAGTCAATGAATATTCAGGAAAGTTCAGGAAGACGCATTCACGGAGAAGATGTATATCAGTTTTGTAAACGAGGTGCATATGAGAGTTTTGCTTCCCTGTCCAATAGTCTGTAGCTGTTCAGTTGGCGTTTTCTAATAACTCCGCAGCGAAGGCCTTCCTTTCATTGGAGGCTCAGGTTGTAGCGGTTGGTTTGTCCGAGGTTAGTCGAGGTGACATCATCAATCTCAGTTAATGATAAAACGTTTGCAACTGGATTGTTTAGCTGGACGAACAAACTGACGGTCTTAGGAGAATTATATCCTTCAAATATTGACAAGACCGTTAGACCAGTGACTTGGGGTCTCCCATTTATGTAAAAGACTATTCGTACAGAAATGGTACCGATTTAGGCACGTCACCTACTCTCCCGCTCTTTGTGAATCGCAAATCACTAGACTGTTGTCCAGTCTAGACGAAAACGGATCTACTTCGTTTGCTGTAGCTCCAGTTTGCTGGATATACACCAGATCAGACCGTACGTGGCTCCTGGGAGAATCCAGTCTTTTGCCGAATTTCCGCTCAGTAGAAAAAGCCTGAAATCCGTTCTGATATCGTACGGTCTTCCGAAGCCAGCAAAAATTTCGTGTTTTTATTAACTTAAATTTATTTTATCGATTAGTCTAGTAAACGTAGATGTGGCATGCTTACGAAACCCATGAACAGTTGCTATGCGAAGTTACCAATGAATTGTAGTGCTAGCTTTGGAGGGGGTGCTCTATTGTGCAATTCCGCTCAGTACCGTGACATTGGACGCAACAGTAGGGTAGCACTGAAGCGTGTGTTCCTAAAAATTCGTTCATGTATGCATGTCAGAACAGGTCAGGTTTCCGGGCTGTAAACTAAACAAGGCGGGGGAGCACGCGGAACAGGACAGACAGACTTTGGTCCGTACCATCGTCACTATCAAAACACCCATCAGCCCAGCGAGTCTATACAACCAACGCAGCCATGGTGCGGTTCACTCCGACTGTGCCTTGTTGGTGTCTTTTGTTAGCGGCGTTTACCTCAGAGCCAACGTAGACTATGATAAGTCTAGCCCAGTGACTCGAGTGTCCCCACAGTTGTAGCAATGACTGAGCAAGACGTTGATGAACGGCTTGAGAAGGGCAGATGACATCCGAGTGGAATCGCAACCGAGGCATCCCCGACTCCTGCTCTAATGTGACGCCAGTGGTCAGATATATCGGCACTCAGCCAGCCTGATCGAAAAATCCTCGTAATTGTACAATGTCTGTCCATCAATGTCAGTTCTATTCCATCGCAAAAACAATTGGTATTCTCAAACATTGTTGATAAACCTGCGCGCAATGACCATTTGAGGTAGCCTGTAGAAAACGAAAACGGGACAGTTCATCATTGGTGGCAACCTACTAAGCCATGCGTTATCCGATGCATGCTGTCATGCTCAAAACGTCAGTTTATGCAGATCGATGGTAGTTTTGAAACACTGGCAACATGCCTGCTCAATCTTCCGTCTGATGATCAATCTAGCACTGTTCGAAGAACGACCACCAAAGATGAACCGAGTTCAATGTACGCTCAATACTGTATGCAATATCACCACACTCCGAAACGTCCTGGACGTACAAATGGCAACTGCATTGGGTTTTCGACTAAACAGAACTCGCCTTGAGGCCGGATTGCCCATCTACCTGCTCCTGTGTTCAGTCATCTTTGCAGGCACAATACAGTGGATATTGCATGGTGCTCTAGTCAAACTCTTACCCCAACGGCATGCTACCACGGAGCTATTACAAGTCCGCCAGTGTGAATGACATATGGCCCTACGAGTTCACCCTGAGCGCGAAATTTACTGGTCGTTTTCTAGGACTTACTTTCAAGCGAAAAACAATATAGCCATTCTAATTTGTCTAGTTTGTAGTGTTTCTGCCTACGGGTTACTTTTATTCACTATGGGGAGTTATGGAAAAAGTGAGGAGTAAATCGAAGTAGGTGTCGAAAGGTTTCCATCTGGTTTCCTAGTGCAACTGTGGGTTTGCGGTTGTCCGAACACACCACAGCGGTCCTCTGGTGTGCGCCGATTTGTGGAGAGAACAGAGACCCTCAATCCCACTGTGACATGGTTTGACGGGGAGTGTATCTACCCTTTCGCCACATACATGACTGTACAGCTCACCGCCACTCGCTTGATAGCGAGATCAGTCTTTTTTCTTACACTCACAAATCACGCAACAGAATCGTGAGTAACTTGGCTACACAGCTCACAGTCAAGCCCTTGATCCCAAGACTCGCCTTTCTTTCTCTACACATGTAAATCACGACACATAAGGGTGACTGATCTGACATAGATTGTACCGTCTGATAAGGTAGCAACAAGTCATGTGCTAACGCCCACACACACACACACACACACACACACACACACACACACACACACACACACACACACACACACACACACACACACACACACACACACACACACACACACACACACACACACACACACACACACACACACACACACACACACACACACACACACACACACACACACACACACACACACACACACACACACACACACACACACACACACACACACACACACACACACACACACACACACACACACACACACACACACACACACACACACACACACACACACACACACACACACACACACACACACACACACACACACACACACACACACACACACACACACACACACACACACACACACACACACACACACACACACACACACACACACACACACACACACACACACACACACACACACACACACACACACACACACACACACACACACACACACACACACACACACACACACACACACAAACGGCCCTACATACAGGATAGTGTTCAGCTGTAGCGCCCTTCCGGTGCCTAACTGCCATGCCACCCGGAGGAAGCACGAGGGCTAGGATACTGCCAGGTTGCCCAAACCTAGACAGACACACAGGATAACAGCACAGCAACACAATACAGCTCAACAGAGCTTCGCACGTCGCCCAACTCGGGGCAGAGCCGCTCAGGACTTACGGCGCCTCACTCACGGATATCAAGGACGACGTGTGGCTGCATCCGGACTCACAACGGGATTTATCAACCTGTACCTGCAAAGCGATAAGTCCCCTGTTCGCATATATACCTGTTGTAGTGATTTTACTCAACAAGCTGATATTGTCAGTGCTCGCCGTTGTCTCGTTCATACAATTATTTTTCGGATCTTAGTAGAGAATTAACAGGGGCTCCTTAGCCACACAATGCTCTTAGCTGCAAAACCTTTGCGAAAGGAATACGGCTTTTGAAGTCAAAATGTTGCATTTTGTTGCGAATGTGCTCAAACCAAAAATCACCTTATTCTACGTTCACATTTTTGCAGCTCACCAAATTTCATTGTCCACTGAGGCAGTCATAACTCTGACGGAAAAGTTTAGTGGAATAATTTCCCAGCAGCGCTGAGACGCCAGGACTCCTAAATAGGGCTCAAAAGTTTGGACTAGTACTCTGAAGTCAATTGCTCGATTACATTAGTCCATCAGAGACACATCGCAGTTTTCGAAAATTGAATTTCATTGTGAGAATACTGAGCGCCGGTAAACGGACAATCAATACTGAAAAAGACGAGAACCGCTGTTTTATCCTTGTTGGGATTTGTCAGCACTGAGCATCTGACGAATTGCTGATGAGTCCCATTGAGGAATAAACGGCTGTAACGTGCTTCTCGGTTTGTTGTATCGTGGGTGGCCGTCTATTGGTTACGCCTGCACTGAGCCTGCCAGACTACACGATAAGGAGAAGACAGAGAACTCGGAACAAGGCTGTANAGAACTCGGGACACGGCTGTATTGTCAGGACAAAACATACAGAGCTTCTGCGTAAATATATAGGATGAGTAAATGGCCAACTATGGTCGTTCACTTGTTCGTTATGTACAGCCAATGGTAGTGTCCCGGTCGTGAACACTTTCAGGCGCGCTACGCTGGTCCTATGTTGCTAAACCGTGTTTGATGGGCTCCGCCAACGCAACTGCTTTCCGAACGTGTCGCACCGATGGTGACATTGGGGATGAGTAACTCTCTGCACATCTACTTTTTCCATGTCTGGGCTCGTCCTGACACGGCTCTTTAGCGTGGAGTGACCTTGAGCGTAGGACGTAGCCTCTACTAAAAATTGTACCACCTCATGCTACTACTGGGGTGTAAGTAAAATACTCAGAAAAGAAAAATCTAACAAGCTCCCTCGGCCTTGCGTTTGAACAGTTGTCATTCGAAGAGCTAGTAATCGCGCGATCATGTGAAATGAATCGCCTGGCTGATGAGGGTTGAGCGATCCCATATTCCGTCCAAAATGAGAGTAAACCACCCCGTTGGTAGGTCACCCATGACCGAATGGTCCAGCGTTTGAATCCTAACCAAGGGTCACATGTCCAGGTGTTGCGCACAGCCGGTGAGTCCTGACAAGAATGAAACAGCTGATCGAGTTTCACGGCTCTTTAGAATACATTAACTTCACTTGCACGACAATATCCCCAAAACACGAATCAATATTGTGTGCTGTGAAACGCGAACAACAGATCCAGTTCCCGAATAATCACAATCCATTTTCGAAGGACACCTTCTCCAAAACTCTTTGGATTAAAGGAAGAACTATCGCGGACTCTGCAGTTTGTGTTTCCTGCGAGAAACTATGGCAAATGAGTTGGTTATCTTCCGGAAGCGTGTTTTGTTGCTCGGTTGTGGGATTCGGTAACTGACTGACCCGGAACGGTGTCACTGGGGCTCGATGTAACTGTTCAATCACAATGTATTTTGATTACCACCTTTGGAATCGGAATGAATGCATCCCAAAGCAAACTTTGTTTGATACATCCTTACATCGGTAGCGCCGAACGCCTGTTTGCTTATTTGGCGGTTACCGCAGTTGTCACGCGCGCGTAGCGTGAGCCTGTGTGGGCAGACCGCAGAAGTGCTATCGCATGATTGGTGGTGGGCAGATGTAGCGAATCTGAAACAGCTCCCCGACGATGCCTCATTCTCAGAACAGAACCATCAAGGACTAGCGTGGTAAGTTCATCCCCCCTTCCATTTCCGGTGGCGTGTTGCTGTGCCTCCGTTTAGAGTCAGGGTGATAGCAATGAGAGGACAAGTGGGGGAGTGGGGGGAGTCACCGTGCAAATTGGAGAAAATTGATTGCTGCAGTTCGGAATGAGAGAAATGGATAGCCGCATAGGCGCACAATAAGCTCACAAAGATTTCTTGTTGTTTGGCTGTCACGAAGCAAGTGAAAAGTGATATTCGTACGAATGTTCGCGAGCCGAACTTGCTCATGTTGAAATAGTTTTCTGGCTTTCGTTTCATCGATCAAGCGACCTATCAGATCTATGAGATATGAATGCCGCCGATAATTTCAGCTTTTCAGCACAGACGGAAATTCAGGTTTGCCTCGGTGACCATCGCTCCGCCCCACAGTACCCATATTTGACTTATCTAGTGAGAAAGACGGTATTCCTTAATGCACAAAATCCGCAGGGTTCCTAGTGTACAATCTACAATTAGACAAAGACAACGTAAATTTGGTTCCACATCGATGACGGGGGGGGTATAGGTAGGGATTCGATCCTGAGTGTATCACATGCTTTCACCGTGTAACTCTTAACCCCTACCATACCAGATAAACAGAACCATTGGACACCGGTGTGAACCTATTGGGCCTTCACCCCCAACGCGCGGGTTTCCTCCCCTGTTTTTGAAGCTGCATCAGATAGAACCTGCTGTATTCGACTGGTGTTCCCACTTCAGCGCATGGTGCCAGAAAAACAACTCACCAACCAGGGTACACAACAGCTTTATTCTGAACAAGCAAGTACGTGCGAGTTCAAACGTTACAAATGCCCCGCGATATTCAAAGGGCACTCTTTGACATTGATCCAGGCTGTCTGAGTTTTAGGGTCTGAGTAGGTTCCGGGCATTCTGGAGTTACTTTCAGGAATCTGACCTTCCTGATGAAACCACTGCAATTTGGTGCACGGTTTAGGAGCTCAAAAAACTGAAACGAACTGATCTGGCCGGGTAGCAGCTCAGTTGAATTCTCATCACGTACAATGCCCTACTACTATCTGGGAAGTAGTAAGTTCAAATCTCCATGACGGTTCATGATGTCCCCAATGCTGGTGCTGGATGAAACAAATGTACTGAGGTCTTCCGATATTCGGCATACGCTGGTTTTGTTTTTTAATGTAATATATCGGTTAAAATTTGAAAATTCTGCTCAGCACCCGCAGACACACCCTCTGAATAAAACTTTCACGGCCCCAATAACTATCTAAAGTCGAACTTGAAATCAAATGGTGATACCAATCGGGTTAACAAGAGTCGTTCTTCGAATTCTCCCATATTATAGCACGCTAGAGACTGGATATTTGGTAGCAAACGGGTCACAGCTCAGGAGAACAACAAGACTGGTTGGAATTAACCATGAAGTTAAACAGGCGATTGTAAACTCCAGTCAAACTCTAAAAAAGACACGTCCTTGGAAAGCTGCCGAGCTGTTGATTCACAAATCGGACTCGCCTTAATTTTGGGGTGTGGTAGATGAGTAGTAATTCCACTTGATTTGATCTCAATGAAAAAGCCACCACTAGTGCAGATTTTCAACTTACCAGTTTCTTGGAAAACGCAGTATACTACTGATGAAACATGCGAGTAACGCCTGGCCAAATTAGCTCAAACCGCTTTCCTTGCATCTGATGGTGGGTCGACTTGGAAATCATTAAATCTTTTTTTCATATATGCTTATCGTTATTAAGGATCTTTTCCAGATAAGCCCCGCCACCTTTTGTCAGCTCCAATTTACTGCACGCACACAACCTGGACCTATTTTTTGATGAAAACAATTCCCCATCCGCATCTAGGCTCCTTGTGTGCAAAAATATTCTCCGTTCGGACGTAAAACCTTAAAGAAACTTTCTGACGCTTTCAACTCTCGTTCATGACAAGGAGACGGTTATAAGTTTTTTGCAAAGCCACGCAGTGATCCATCAGCAACGTCTATGCAACAATGGCCACCAAATGACACTTTGAACTATTTCTGACAGATGGAGGTGTAATGTCCGACAGCGTCGGCGAGAAATCGGTCTTCGAAAAGGGATCTGTCGGGAAACTAAAGAGGTGTTCATGTATGCAGTGGTAGATCGAACTGCGGCCACCTTGATGGGCACAATCCAGGCCTGTATCGCTCCCGGCTGAATAATCGTTTCCGATGTCTGGGCATCATACCAAGGAATTGAAACGATGATTGACATGAATTATACCCATGAAACCGTTAATCATATCGGAAGCTTTGTGGGTCCAACGATTGGAGTTCACACACAAATCGTCGAATCTCTTTGGTACGTCTACAAGATGCAGAATAAACGCCAATGCGGCACACACCGATCTTTAATGGACAGCTAATTGTGTGAGGCAAGGGTACCGAAAAACGGACCTTTTCATGCAAATTATTAATGGCATGTCCATCTCTCTTTAATAAAGATACAAGTACAAATTTCATATCTTCGTTTTTCTAATCTTTTTTTGGGTGGCGGGGGTTAGTTTTTTGGTGGGGCTTATCTGGAAAAGATCGGTTTTTAAATATTCAAGAGGAGTCCAGGAAAGCAGAGGAGTACCACTGAGGGCGATAACTTTTTTTAAACTATACAGATGAGGTTTCCACTTTCGTGTCTGATGGCGTGAAACCACTTAGTTTGTATGAAACGCCAAGCGATTTCGCACTCGAAGGCGCTTTTTCTTTCACCGGTGGGAACCTTTTAAGTAATCACGATAAAATTACTGGCATAGCCCGACCTAATTTACGTATTCTGTACGCCAGTGTGCAGAGGGGGCAGGGCTGTGGCACGAGGCGTAGCAACAGGACTAACAGTTTGATCTTCATAAGTCTTTCTTCAGATTTGAATTGCTTTTGCCCCTACTTCGATCCATTTGTTCCACTGACGTTCACTACATACAACCCGTTGTCATATTGACGTCCAGTTGTACACCTAATCACTTTGTTTGTTTATGTAAAACCCCCTGTTGATCAGGCGAATTCACTTTCGATTTCGGCCGCATTCAGCTTATGCGCACTGAATTTGAGTTGCACAGTTGGTGAGTTTATCGGCCTAGAGTTGGGATGATTTGTTTGTTTTACTTACATCGGTACTGCATGAATCTGCCTACTGAGATCCGCTTTCTGGCATCCGCGGTCTCAAGTCTGCTGTGATTCCACACTGGCTCGATCGATCGCAGATTGTGCGTTAATCAGTGGTTAGCGAGGCAGCACTCGATTACCGCCACGGTGACCTTCGACGATGATTGGTTGTTCGGTCCTGCAGATGACCGTCAGCCCCGGTGACCTTCGACGATGATTGGTTGTTCGTCCTGCAGATGACCGTCAGCCCCTGATAGGTTGATTTGTAAGTGTCCTAACCGGCCCGGGTGAGTGTGCAGGCCTGCTGATAATACTTATTGACTGACTTGAATAAATGAGTCAGAGTAGTCGAAAAGTCAATTTTTGCGTGCCATTATTAAAGGATATGAGAAAACTTACAGCGAAAATTCTGGGCCAGGGAGATTTGTGATATATGGGAGGGAAAGGACTCCAACATCAATAATTGTGAAATGTAATTTTACACAAACTTTTGGGCTATATGAACAAACGGGTTGTATGTTGCGATCAGATTAGTTCATAGCATGTGAGAATCCGCTGTCGGGGGTTTGTTGAACGACTTCATCATGCCGTTGGGTGCTTTACAAGGTAAGGCTGGTTTAAAAGCTGTGAAACTTTCAGAAATGGCCGGATCGTCTTTAATCATCTTTTGTTGACGGATTGAAACTTGGTGCGAAGGTAGGAGTACATATCCGGGAGTTTCAGATTTGAACGACAGTCCAATGCTGTCCGTCTCCGAATTCGACCGGTCAATAGATCTGATTGAGTCTTTGGTGCTTTTTGGTAAATCCTCGGTATCTTGCAACAAATGTCTCATTTTAACGGTATCTTCAGCTGAGCCTTTGGTTTCTTTTGTTCCCCCATTCCGATTGTGGGATAAGAGCACTGCCGTGATTTCTTTTTCGTCTTGATGACTCCGGTTGACAGGTTGAATAAGACCTTTGCGAACTAGTTCTACGTAACCCTGTTCCGAATCGTTGTCAGTAGTTAGCAGAGTGCTCGTTGTTAGATGACTTTGAGCCTGTCTGCTGTTCGCAAAACCTGAACAGTTGGATGTTGACCTACGGACCAATATGGGCTTTGGCGGATTTCGGATGCCAAAACTATCCTCGCCAGCATTTCCGGGACATATCAGGAGGCCGGCCTCACCAGAAGGGAATCGTACAACCAGCGGCGTCATTTCGGACCTCACGGTCACAGATCGAACAGTTTGTCCACAGTCATAACTTTCTGGAGATCCAGTTCGTAACTGGATTCGATTGTTACTGTGCGATGGAGCGAGCTGCGGTTTGCTGAACTCAAATTGTTGTTGCGGGGATGAATGGAGCAAAGCACTTTGTAGCGGACCAAGTTCCACATGATCTGGTTGTTTTGGCCTCTCAACGAAATTCCCCGGTGATTCATCAGTATGGTGCCCACTGAACTGTGGTGATGGGCACTGTTGGTGCATCAAACGGTTTCCAATATTAAACGGGGTTCCCAGACCATCAGTAAAACTAGCCGAGTCATTCGTGAGTACCACCGATCCGGTCAGACTTTCGTTGTGTGTTGGACCACCAAGATTGCCAATTCCATTCGGCTGGACGGAAGCAAACCCTTCTCCGACGAGACGGGGATTGACCAAATCTGCCGCGTAATGCTGTCGCACGTACTCATCTCCGAATGCGTGTGTTGGTCGATACACACCGTTCGCCAGCGCATGTCTCTTCAACTCTCCAAGCTGAACTGGCGTCGGTGCACTGCACGGAGGATGGATAAACATGGATTGATATAGGAGATTCGGCATTGTCATGCCTGTTCCATCGGATACTGGAGAAAGACGCTGTGTCGTGTAGAACATTGGGTTGTCCATAGCCGTTTCCTCCAGACTGGTCGAGTTGTGCAGCGATGTGAGATTAGTGGTCACCGTGGGGACAGGCGTGTTTCGCGTGATTAGGACTGGACAGGGTGAGTTGGAATACAACTGAATGCCTTTTGATTTTTGTCGGAAGCATAGCAGACGAGACAGTGTATTGTCTACTTTTCCTTTCGACATGTTATCTGGCCAAAAAAGATGAATGAGAAATTAGGAACGACTGTTCCCCGGAAACCAATTGACAGTGGTGCACTTTGAGCTACTCCTCAGCACACCCAAGAGCAGCATATGCTAGTGTATTCTCAGCAATATTTAATAAAGTGAGAGCACTGTGCACAGAGGAAGTCGACCGAAGAGCAGCACAACTTGAGGTAAAAAAGCGACTTCAAGATAGCGGAGACCTAGTGGGCTTAATTGAGCGGCAATTAAGACGGGTATTGGTGCCGACACCAAGGCCCAACAAGGAGTGGATCGGGACAGCAGTCATTCCATACAAAATAGGGACACTTGAAGTCAGTAGATGGGTACTGAATACGACTAGCATTAAAATAGCATTCCAGAAGAGAAACACTTTACGTTGTTGGTGCATTTGAAGGATCGCCTTCCGGTTGATAAGACTAGGAACTGTGTCCAAAAAATAAGATGTAACGGCTATACGAAGGCCTATAGAGGTCAGACAGCCAGGGAATTGCACACCAGAATTGGTGGGCATAAGCGATCCACTAACAAACCACCAAGAAATGTAGGTGAATATCAGGCAATAGTCAAAGATTCGGCAATGGTAAGACATGCACTAGATATTGAGCACAGGACATTCTGAGACGGAGACTAAGATTCACATCACAGTGACTGATGCCACAGGCGGTAGAAATAGCTAAGCATACCAGCGTGAATAGAATAGAGGACATAGAAGTGGTAAGCGTTTGGAAAGCGGTTTTCGATCGGCTGGGAAATGACATAAATGGTTGTAGTGCACTGGGGAATGTTGGTTGTCGACAGAACCGTAAGTTCGTTATCGTGTGAAGGAATTCAGGTAATCGCAACAAGACTCTAGGCGGATTAATGAACATAAGGTGGCTATTAATAGACAAAAGGGATCCTTGATTCAGTTTGGAGGAGGCAAACGTGGGAGCACAAAAGAAGCAGATGAGATCCTGAAAGAAGGATACATTCATCCGACTGGCGAATCAAACTGACTTATCCAGAGAATTCGAGGGACGGCGGTCACAGGGTGGGTGGATTCACTGGTAAGTTTAGTAATGGAACAAATGCTGAAAAAACCACTGAGCACGAGTCATAGAATCTAAGCTTGCAGCTTACCTGATCTCCCACTAACCACAACCCGGGTCGAAAAGTTGATCGAAACGAGCATTCACAATCAGGGGCCATCCCTGACTAACAGTATGTAAATCTAAATAGTCATAACCCTGTTCAGCGCCTACAAACTGACCTACTACGGAACCATGGCTCACTAACGATGTCACTGTGACTGACGAAGAAAGGCTCATCACTTGCTCTAAAACAGTCAGTGTTAGGAGCAAGCGAACATAGCTTGTGACGTTAATCCACGTCAAATACATGGCGACGAAGTTCTGCTTATAGGACTGGATTTTGTGGCTTCAGGAGCATCTTCGGCTGTCAACGCGCTGCCCCTTGCTCTGATTGAAAGCTATCTATAATTCACACTACTTAAAAAACGAAGTAGTTTGAGAATAATGCGCTGATTGATTTCGCAGGCCTGCAGACGCCATTCTCTTATTCCCGGATTTACGTTTAGCTGGTTTGAAGTGAATAAGAGGAAGCTTGTGCATACGTAATGTAAAATTTTTCACCCGTTCTTTCCGTCGCTTCTTGGTTTATCAGGCTACAACTTCCATTTACGATTGAAGCGCCTGCAGTCTGGTTGCTCCAGAAGTTTGTGAACATAATCCGATCTCTATATTCACATACTTCTGGGCGGGTGAGGGTGTATGGTGAGCTCTCCAAAAGCTTTCCTACAAAAAGTGGTGCCAGACAAGGATGTCCACTCTCCCCATTCTTGTT